AAATACATAATCCTAAAAATATTTTTATTGCAATTTATTGATAGAATACCACCTGTATGTTATAATGGTAAGTATTGTAATCTTTAAAAAAATTGTTAATAACAAAGCTGTTATTCTAATAGTAAAAGCACAAGTTTTAGCTCTGAATGTCGAGAAATGGGGGAATTAACTTTAAACACAAGTAATTTTTTGGCCAATCAGATTTTTGAAATAAGCATTTTATGACCTCTGGGACTTCATATGACGAGTCCACCCATAATACTGCTGTTAAATGGCTGCTGCTCTGCAGAATGATCTTTTCGGTAGTCGTATATATATGTATGTATATATATATATATATATATATATATATATATATATATATATATATATATATATATATATATATATATATATATATATATATATATATATATATAATTTATAAGTTGTAATGTTATTTTTTTTAAATAAAAAGTAAACTTAAGGTCTTAAAATTTGTACCATGAATGTTTACTTAAAATAATTTTCCTAACAATAAAATCGCCTAAAATCATTAACGCGAACTAATAGAAATACCGAAACTGTTGTAAGTTGGTTGCACGCCAACCGAAAGGAGGGAATTATTTCGAAAGTTATGAGTTGGACGAGGACAGCGGCATCAGAGTTATTGATTTATGAAGCACCACCCCAGCATTTTCCATAAAGCTGTTTGCGGTCCCGAACTGTGAGCTCTAGAATATATGGCCGAATAAGTGTTTTGTATGAACGTCTGAGTAGGTATTCGTTTCGTCAGACGTTTATTGAGTGGCGCCATTTTTGCATCATTTGCATGACTGTCGAATATTTGCCTTTCACAAAATTAAACGTATTCAAGAAACATTATATTATAATTATTATAAATAAAATGAGAGGTTAATTTCAGAATTTAGGTAATTTCAGTTGACAAAAATAAATAAATCAAGGAATGAAGTAGATTTTTGGCAACAAAACTTATTATCATTATATCAGGGTTTTTACTAAAACTCTCACATTGAAACACACTAGTCGGTCAAATGCAATAGAAAAAAAGGTGTTTTTGAAGAAAGTAACAAAGAAGAAATTTATAAAAAAATAAATTATTACTTAATTATCTGTTATGAGATCACAAAGAAAAATTATTAAAAAAAAACATCAACCCTCAGGATATCTTGGGAAAAGATGTTTAGTTATTAAACAAAATATATCTTTTTATTTCAGGCTTTTCTTTATTTTTGACTTGTTATGAATGATAATATGATTTATTCATGTTTTATTTTTTTGTAATTCTCCTTTTTTTTGGAGACGGACATTTCGGGAAATATGTGTCGGTTTAAAGGTTTACTGCTGAAAACTACGTTACTTAATCCTTTGGTCTAGAATCTAGAAAATGTGTTGTATATTTTTTATCAGAAAGCTTAACCCAAACAGACATTCTCAAATATCATTCATTTAGATATTAAAACAATCTAATTCAAATGAAAAATATTAGAACAATTGTCCATATTGACCACATTATATTATTAAAAATATAAACAGTACTTTCTTTTTGCGTTTTTTGTTTTCATGCGAAAAAAGTCCCACTTTTTATTATCTTGAAAAAATGCGCTTAATATAATCGCCCAGCCAATGAATAAATTAACGTACGGAATATTTTTTTAAATAAAAATGCCTGATATGAATTATTGTAAAGCTACCGCATTAAAAGCACATTTCACTTAATGTACCTCTTATTAAATATAATGTGCGTATATTAATTTTATGCTCTACACGTGATCAATAATGGTTTTGAAAGCTGAGCCTGTTGGTAGTACAAGTTAGTATGCGCCTAAATGTACCTCTTAAATAACATTTCATACATATTCAAATATAGTGATGTTTGAATATGTATGTAATGATCGAATACTATTTCCTTTCTTTTTTCTTAGCATATGAAGAGGAATCTTAATAATATTAACCGCCTTTTCTCTTATCTATTCCCAAGAATACTAAGTGAGAAAAACACTACATATAAAAAAGCTTAACCTAAAACAAGAAACCTTTGTGTTCACATTTTTCTAGTACCTTTTACCAGTTTTACTACGCTGGACCTATATATTATTTCGACTCGCTAGGTAAAATTAACAGGTTTTAAATGTAATGAAACATCAAATGTGTAACCAAAAGAAATCTCAAGAGCAATATGAGTTACGCCACAAAGAACATTTAAAAAAATATATGATATTTTGAAAATATAAATAAATTCTCAGGTATTTTGGAGCATTTCCCAATTTTTTATGCCGCTTTAAGTGCATTTTGCAAAGGGGAATCTCATTTTTTCTGCTTCTAAGGGGACATCTAAAAGTACCTCACCATTAAGGATGTATTCCTCTAGTCCAATACATTCAACATTATGATATCGCAGTCAATTAGAGTAATTGACTATTGTTCTAGATAGTTTAATGGGCATCTGGACATGGAGAAAAATCGTAAAGTTTTTGTATATTCATCATTTGTCCTGTATAAAACCCAGAAACGAACTTATAACTTTTAGTTCCGGTAATACACTGGGGTGGATGCGACAAATGACTAGTATGACATTACCTATAGTGGCCAATTTACTGAATCAGTCGTTAAGAGTCAAATCTCGATGAATGCTACTATTTCATGAAAACTGCTATACACAAGCAGACAAAAATTGATCGTTTTTTATAGTTAAAAAGAGGTCAACCGGAAAAAATGACATGCTGTTTCTGCAGCACTGCCACTTGATAAAATATTAATCGTTTCCACATTAATTAAATTTAAAACATCGTTGCCATAAAAAGAATGAACATACCAATAGTTAAAATTAAACGATAAACCACCCGCAACAATTCATCGGATGTTGCACCCGTAATCCATAAAAATAAATCGTCGTTCTTCAGGTGGCCCATAAAACTCGGGCACATGCTCAAAAGTCATTTAAATACAATTGAATCGTCCTTCCGAACCCGGATTCTTGCAGACACCCCAACGGCAATAAAGTTACGGCCAAAAAGTACCTTGTAAACATACCAGTAAGTAGCGAAAAAGACAATGACGACGATATCTTAAATCATCATTTGACCGAATTTATGGATGTTGTCGTATCCCCTCGTGCGACGTTGCCAGTAATACAAGCACGTGATGAAATGATATCGATTGTATGTTTTGTTAAAACGGGAGGCAGTAGATACACAACAGTATGGTTGAAAATCCTATTTTTTAAAAATTAATTAACAAATATTATCTAATTCGAAAAATGAATGTAACTTCACAATTAACATAAACGTTGACTCATCAAAAATATTCGAACATTTCTGTCTGGTAGGTAAATTAAATTATTAACTTCATTTTGTGTTCGCCTCAGAATATCCTCATTAAAATTTTTCCTTTAAACGAGGAACAAGCAGTCAACATAAATTTTCATTAACTTGAAATATTAAATTTTCAGGCCCATTTACCAAAGAAGAAATGAATATATATTATTATTTATAGTGTATATATAGTTTCATGAAATGTGACTGAAATCGCAACTATCGACAACACCGGTCAGTGGCTTGTATGGTCCCATGACAATAACTGCATCTCTCTTTCTGCCAGAGTACACTGGAGGCAGGAAAGGTACGCAGACCGAAAAACAAAGAGAAAGAGCGAGAGACAGTCGTAAAAGAGCGTGTGCCCAAGATGATTTAGTGGTATCCTCGTTGGAAGATTACGTTAAGAAACCACTTGTTATTGCACATAACTTTTGATTTAAGTGATGTTCGAACATGGTGTAATTACCTACCTTTACCTACAGAAACGAGAAATTGCAAGAGAACAGTTTTCGAGAAATAGGTGGTTAGGTCGGACTAGATTTAAAACTTATCTACAGCATTATTTTTTACTCTCATCTTAGAATTGTAGTATTTTAGAATTAATTTTAATCACTAACTAACCAAAACATGACATTGCACCAACGATTTCATATGGAAAGAAAAATAATGACCCCCTCTTATTAAGGACATAAAACAAATTACTTTGATTTTTATACAATAATATAATTTGACTTACACTTGAGAACAATTTATAGTGAAAATTGATAAAAAGGAAATGATCATAGTAAATAAGAAAAAACTAGCTTACGGTTACTCCAAGGAAAATATCAGATGGGCATGTATCATGACTAAAAAATCTTCGCTCTTTACTAGTAACAATTATAACTTTTATTTATTAGTTTTAATTGTCATAAGACGTTATTTGCAGGTAGCCTACTTTTAGGGCATGAGGATACGTTACCATAAAACTAAATATGTTAAAAAGTTCGCAACAATAAAAAAGAAACCGGCGACTAACAGAGTGTTTCGATAAGCGAGTATTGCAAAGGACCCATTCCCTGGTCAAAAAGAGCAATCGATCATAATGTCAAAAGAACCATCAAGGCGGAGCTCTTTACGGTATGCCAACCAATAAAATTCATATGGAAAAGGGGCCATCTTGTCATATTTCGGAAATTAGAATGTTAACCTGCTTTACAATGTTATGGACTAGTAATTAATGCTATTTTATTTATTACGGAATAAGATTCGATAGAAGAACCTTTCTTTAAGGATGCTGTACATAAAGAATTCGTTGTAATTGGTTATAATATATTTTTAAAATTTTTCGTTCGTTTTATTAAATGTCACACTGCCGGTTAACCGATTGAAAGCCTTGGTCGTCTTACATTTTCGGTTCAAATCTTGCGAGACTCTTGGAGTCGCCGAATGTACACTAATTATGCAAAGACACTAACACAGATAGCATTCCGAAATCAAAATCATGCACAATTCCATGCGAACATGCTGACGCGACATATTATTACACTTTTAGTTCAATGATGTGAGAATGTTGAATATTTGAAGTTTCCACGCCCCTTATAATTGAAAGGTGAAAGAAATGTAAAAGCCAGCATAAATTTACAATAATATTTATTTATACATATATAATGTATATATAAGGTGAAATCCACAAGACAGAAATCCAAGTATTAAAGTATTTAGACTCAAAATATAATTTATATACGAGGGTTAAAAATATTTATAAATTTATATTACAATAACGTTTGATTTACAAAATAAAAAAAAAAACAAAAATTTCTCCGAAATCAAAAATGTATGTAAAACTTAGTCAACTAACTTTCTAAAATATTACACCACAGCACAAATAACTATTATATTTCTATATTTATCCATATAGGTACAAATTTACAGCATTTCACTGCAAAAGATCTCTAAAAATGTTTCTTACTTCTCATAGCGTGTAAATAAGTTTCTCCTACATTTCGGGTGTTAGCCAAATTATACCTTGAAAAAGAATAATATGACCGGAAAACGACGAAACAGAAATTGAATAGAACGAATATTTTTGGATTCTATTTAACTTGCTTAACGTTTTATTTTACAATATATTTTAAATAATATTTGTCATATTAAAATAACTGTCTATTTAGACGTATACCTCTTTTGTAGCACTGTTATCTGATTTACGTATTTCGTTACTGGTTTATCACTAATAGATTCACAAAATAAAACATTTTGAATTCCATTGTAGCTTATAGGAAAAAAAAGTTTTCCTTTATAATGGCGTGTGTAAATAAGAAACTATTCGCTAAAACGTTTGCGCACTTTATGATTTACTTGTACACTCAGTGTATATTTTTCACAGTATTATTACGTATTTTTGAGTATTCCTTTCTTATACCAAATATCCTACATGGATAATGATTACTTCTACCTTTGGCATGAAAGTGCGTACTTTTAATAATATCGTATATTTCATATCCTCTTTGACCGGACTATTTACAAGTTTTTTGAACTTTTTTTAACCAAATATACATACAGTCGAAATATCTACACTTTAAAGTAAACAATTCTACGTTTTCATACACTTATTCAAAGTTAGCTTATTTGTAGACAATTTGATTTGAAGATTTTTATATATTTAAGTAATTTGTTTTTTTTAATTAGGTTAAGTAGCAATGTAACTTGCTTCGATATCAAAAAGGAGTACAAATAAACTACTCATCTCAAAGGTTAAAAACACATAAGCCAACTGGAATATTTTCCAAATTCTAATCAATTCCAATCAACTTGCGTAAAACTCATGGCCACATTCACATTTCCAAAACAAAATGGCGACCACTGACCTTAAATCCGAAAAGAACAAGTGAACCTTGGTGTTATGCGCATCGTTTTCTAGTAATTTTTTAAAATCGGAATTCACCCTTTTCGTAAACATTTTTGGCAGTTCGCAAATCTGCAAAATCGCGAGTTTCACTTCAAAAAAATTGCACGTTACACTGGCCTTAGGCTTTTGCGAGTGTCCAAAAACAAAATATCAAACACGAAAAATTAAGAACGTAAAAAGTCTCCGCGGACAATGAAAAAACAAAATATAATATAAAATTTTTTTTTATCTACAATATATTTATAAATAATAAATAAACTATTTAAATCGATCTATATAAATCGCGTAAATTAATTCGAAACTAATTATACACAGAAAAAGAGGTCATTACGGTTGTGTGTGTGTATGGGCGTTCGTAGCCTGCAGGGAAAGTTAAATATTTTTTTGTGAAAATTAAGTCACTTAACTAGGTATCTGTATGGGCTAGCCTAAATTTTAAATCAAAAATAAAAAAAAAATCGGGCGTTGCGGGTGTTTCAAGATTTGGTAACAATATTGTAGGAACATTATTTTAAAGATTCAATATTTTCTTCGGTTTTCCCTTATAGCTCCTATCATTTTTGAGGTATTTAGGACAAAATTAAAGCATACCTAGGTTCAGAGGAAATGGAAATATTTTTTAGGTGCCTTTTTATTGCTCTTAACGTTTTTGCGGTACGCCCCTGGTAGATCTTAAAATACAAAACGAATTTTTGGTTTAATTTTTAATCTTTTTACTCATTAACTTGTTCGCAATCAGTCCTTCACAAACTATTAATTAAAATGTGTAGCTAAAAATAGTTATAATTTCGTGGGAACCTTTAAATTCCAATGCTCTTTGGATCAATCATAAACTGTTGACGGCAATTTTTAACAGCAAAAAGTCTTTCTCAACGTGAAAAAGATGCCCTTAATGTCTGAATTTAGCTGAATTTAGAAGCACCTTGTATAAATTACGCTAATTGTTATATCAATTTTTTATATTGCTTGAAGTAACAGTGTTCTTCAACATTTCATTCCAGATATTTTTCATTTATTTATGAGATGCTTCCTTCAATAAAACATCCGGATTTCATTTTTCATGCTTTTTTTTGTCAAATCTCTATATAAGTTATCACGTTAAACATTTATATTTATAGGAGGAGTAGCTCAAAGAAAGAAATTAGAATCTTTACCTCTTAATCGATCGAACGAAGAAAAACTATTTAAAACAATTTTTATTATTCCTTTTTACTGAATGGATATGTGTTAATGGGAACTTTAAAAACGTAGAGACTTGTGGTGGTTTGACGCAAGCATCTATTAATATTAACACTAATATAAAATTTATGGAAAAAAGTTAAATGATTCTATAGTGAATCGTCCATCTAGATACACCAAACCATTAACATTAAAAAGTTAACCGCCAACTTCTAGCTTTTCAAGGGCATACAAATGATGAATTTTTGGATTATTATCTATTTTGTGGATCGAAATGGAAATATTAATTAAACAGAGGAATAACTTGGCTTTGCGTTAGAAGACGCCATTAAATTTTAATTAATTCACTAAATGTCACTATGAACAGTTGTTTTCTTTATTTTAACGTGAATGTTAAAAAAGTGCTAAATTAATGTTACTGGATGCTTACGTGAATCCATGATAAACGTTCACAAGGGAAACGCGAGTTGAAGAATACTGGCTTAGATTAACGCAGACCTAAAATCGTCGAATTACTAGAACATATAAAACAAAGGTACCGTTGACTTGCAGTTTGTATGAAAGTTTATTTAATTACGGGAACCAAGTATCTTGCATGAAAAAATTGACGTTTCATTTAGATATTTTTCGACTACCCTGGCTTAAAAATTAATTAACAAATATTTAGTTATCACCGGGTCTTTCCTGCAACGCTGCGACGAACGCCCACAATGGTGTAGTTATTTTTTTGAGTATTTCCTGCCGAAAAAGTCGATCGACTTCTTAACGTCGCAACGCGTTAAAAAGAAGAAAACAAATGCAATGACTACGTTGTTTATTAGGTACATGGTTCGCATCCAACGAGTTTGGTTGGTTCACTGTGGGGAACCTTGAGGACTAATGTCATCGCCACCCCCTTCCGAACCACCTTCCCCTTTGGTCTTGTTTTCCTTTTTCCATTTCATTCTTCGATTCTGGAACCATATTTTGATTTGCCGTTCCGTCAAGCAAAGTGCGTGGGCGATTTCTATTCTCCGTCGCCTCGTGAGGTACCGATTGAAATGGAACTCCTTTTCCAGTTCTAACGTCTGGTACCGCGTGTACGTTTGACGACCTCGCTTTCGTTCTGAAATAAAAAAAAACGCAAAGTAAACATCGCGTAGCAAATAGTTAAAGCAAAACTACGAAATAGTGCAAAGTGACAGTCTTGATCAAATTAGGTTTTACGAAAAACTCTATTCGACGTTGCGTATATGTTCGGAAGAAAGAAAAATGTTGTTAACCCGTAAGCACGGGTCCTACAGACTTTGGTTATTTCACATCTTGTGAGATACATAGTTAACTATTATTGGTGGCTACTGATTTCAGTACTACATATGTAGAGTTGCTTTCTGCACCTGTTTATCGTCATTAGTCAATAGTTAACAGAAGAGAACACAGAGTACATTAGAGGATAGCTGTGAGTCATATATTTGGGAGAGAATATCCAATAAAGATATTGCTCGTCAGTTTCGTGAATCCATGGCGAAAATGATTGGGACGTTTTTATTGTATTGTCTTGTCCCTAGGTCAACAAACAGTCGCTAGGTCAAACAGGAAGAGCTTTTTATCTCGGTGGGAGCGATAGCCAACCAAGCAAATAGCCCATTCTTCTATAGTGTGCACAAAATAGTCCCCTGCCGAACCAAACAATAAGTTTTCTTTACTATTGTAATTTTATATAAATATCATCCGTTAATAATAAATTCCTAAATAAAAGAGTTTTTTTTGAATAATTATTTCGGTATACAAAAGACGAAAATGAGTCTTTGGAACACAGACATATTGCAAATCTATCGGGTTAAATAACTTAACGAATATAGAAATCGTGGAAAAAGCAATATTTTATTGTTGTGTACGTATTCTACTCTAGGTAAAAAGATTAGTATTACTAAAACCAACAACTATTAGCTACCGTGTTATAATTGATAATAAATTACAATACATATTTAAATTTTCTTTAGATTCAGCTGGAACACTATACGAAGTGGTCTGTCTATTTTGCCCAAGGCAATATAAGCTTAATCAAAGGAAAAATATAAACCTATGTAACAATTTTCATTGCTGCTTGGGCTTCATAACTAATGAAACACACATTAGAGATGACGATGACTCAATGGTCATCGATAAATTAAAATTCCAGCAAGTCCAGATATCTTATTCATTACGTAATATGTATCACTCCTAAACATCTATTGCAAAGCTCATTTAGTCTGGTAACAGAATTATCTTCACGTTTTTAAAAACTAACAGCATAATGTTTTAAAGATTGCTTAAAATGATGTAATTCCTTTTCGAAGAAACTCTATACTTGCAACATCGTTTGGGTAAAATTTATGCTACCTTAGTGAAAACATTTTGTTTTATTTATTTATTTATTTAAATATCCAATCTTATTTTTATAAAATAGAATAGAATATTAATAGCACGCAAAAAACTTGAAATTAAAATAAATAAATCAAACTTATAATTAAATTAAATTAGTAAAATTGGAACAAATATAAACAATGTATCATACTACATACTTCCTTATATGAGTATTTTCAAACTGATTTTTACCCACGTATATTTTGTGACTGTTGAAAAGACATTCTCGTCAATTTTCCTTATCATTAAATTCATACGACTTTCTGGAGACAGTGATCAATACCTATATCACATCAAGAGTTATAATTACACTGAGAGAAAAAATGAGATGAATTGCAAAAAACTCAATTCACATAGGCGCTAGCTAAGAGCTTTCTCACATGCCCAAGTTTTCTTTGTTGCAGGAGCAAAGCGCCATTTTCATGAAAATACTTGTTATTCTATCAACCCCTTAATGGCTTTTTTGCTACTGCATAGTATCCTTTTCTCATATGGCCGCGGTGTTTTACCGATCTAATAAAATGTTTTAATTTTTTAATGACATTCAGCTAGAATATAAAGTAATAATATTAAGTAAGCCTAATAGGGTATTTAATTAATAATTAAAAATATTTCAATAATAGAGTTTTGAGCTCAAAATATTAAGATTTATACATAATAACTTAGACTAAAGGCCCGTTTCAAAATTTTCGTGTAATAAATTTTTTTTTTATAGTTGTTCTTTTGAAAACCAGTATCTTTTGAAATGTTGAATACATGTATTCGTCGGATAACAACTAACTACTAACTATGTTTAACTTTAAATATCGAGATAATTTTATCGTGACAAAGAAAGAGTATTTTATTCACATATAATGGTATTGTTGAATCAAAAAATTGTCCTAAAATCGCAATTATGTCAAAGACGTAGAAGTTCCCTTTGTCCTACGACTCTAGTACTGGTAGTAGTTTATTTCTCATAATCTAGTTTACAAATCTCCTTTCAAATATAACAGTGGTACGTGAAACAGTTTTCAAGAAAAATAACTTCTACATTTTTAAATAAAACAGTACGCAAATCATTAAGCAAGAATTCTAAATCATTCGGAACAAATCTTAATGTTTGGATATCAGGATTCTACAACTTATATATTTAAAATTATTAGTGAATCCCCCTGTATATCTTATACCATTATACAGGGTCGACATCTACATACATTAAATTATCTGTAAGAAGACAATTCATTTGTTTGTTCATCATATTATAGGCAATTCATAGAAGTAGAATTTACTTTAACGTTTGTTTTTGCACTGGAAGCCTGAATTGGTTTGAATTGGTTTGATTGGTTTGAATTGGGTTTTAATAAGATTTCGGGTTTTCTTAGTTTTCTTGTGAAATACTGGTTCAGGTGGCGAATGAAAGAAAGCATGTTTAAAAATATTTTTATTCGCTCCTTCAAAAACAAAATAAACAAAAACTGAAATCTTAACTGGCAGCGGTAGAAGTTTCACCAATGCCGCTGTTTGGAATATGAAACGACGTCAATACAAATTGCATAAATGAACAAAGTATATACACTGAACAACTGAAACAACCGCGCACAAAACGCCAACAAAATTTTTCAAAATAAATAAGAACTAAAAGTTCAACAACACCGGTGTTGTCGAAACAATTGTCATGTAAAAATATATAATTCAGTGAAAATCTGAAATTTTAGTTCTTAAAGTAAAAGCCATCTCAGTTCAACAAAATCTTTGCTAATACATTTGTCAATTTGCCAAATTGCTTTTATTTTTCACGATTTTACCAGCAGTACTATCACCCACGCCAATGTTTCGGACACGCCGTATAACGGATAAATTCAACGTTAAAATTTTAAATACGTTCTCATAGCCTTGAACCTAGTCATTAATTCTAACCCACTTCTTTCGATTAAAAGGAGCGTATCGTTCACGTTTGATCACGCTTACGGAAACTTTGTCAAATTTTCAAATCTTCCGCGAGGCAACAACTCGGCGAAGAGTTCATTACAAAAATTATAACCTAGACTCAAAGAGAGAAAGCTCCACAGAATAGGAAAAAAACGCCCGGCCGAACGAAAAATAATTATATACATCAGTTTGAATTGGAGGCTGGAACGGCCTTGTGACGCCAATCAAACTAGGCTCTAGGCGGTCCGGGGTATACGTATTCGAAGATAATGAGTTTATAAATGACGTATAAATCATTCTACCATATTCTCTTCCTTTTGGGTTTTCGAAAACACAAAAAAAGTCGGTGCATGTAATAATTACGATTAGTTCTGGTGTAACAACACGAAATGGCCCAAGTTTCGTGTGGATTATGATGGATTGTTTTCATTTGTGGCACGAGGGCATCGACATTTTTCGTCAATTTTAAACAATAGTTTGTATTATGCTTATCTTTGAATTGATATCGTCCTGGAAAATCGTTAATGACCTGAAATTTTGAGGTTGGTGCTTTAATTATCAGTTTTTAAATAATAAGGCGGGTTTTCAAAAAGCTCAGTTTTATTCAATTCAAACTTTTGAATATGTGAACACGAAAGTGTGAATATTATGGACAGGGCGAGATTTCAATGTCTCAACCAATCAATTAATCGCATTGCTTACTGGTTAGTATAACTAATATTGTCGTGATAATAGTCTTACATGACCTCCAGAATATTTCTTACATAAAGCGTCCGCAAATTTTGTGTAAATGATGATGCGAGAAATCGCACTACAAACTTTAACTAACAAATTTAATACTTTCATGGAGATATTACTAATGCTTCAAAATAAACTCTACAGTTGTTCACTTTATTGAAGCCCGCCCTGATGGCGTAAGAAAACGTTAAAGTTACCATTCGAGAATTATTGTTAATAATTATATGAATTTGTTTATTAGTTACGGTAGGGAGGATTATATCCAGAAGTGGACGAAAAGGGCTCTATAATAATCATGACTTGTGAAGAATGTTAAAAAGTGTACAAACGTTTGCGATTCGTTATCCGCAAAAACAGGAAACACATTGCAGACATGGGTTTCGATAAGGGAGCATAGATCGGTACACATTCAAGGTCGGCAGTTTTTAATGAGATTTGGTTACAATGTGAAGGATTATTATTCCGCACTTTCGCTTTCCACAAAGCCAAAAAAGTTATTTTGAATTTTTCTTATAGTTTTTGTTAACTATTTGAATTAGAAGTTCGTAACATTACCCCTAAATAATTAACAAATTCAATTCGTCGTGTGTATAATTATTGACAGCCCAAATGGTGATACAGTAAACTCCGTTTATAACGTACCATTACGTACCATATCTAATTTCTTCTACGGTTATAAAGTATCGGAGATTTTTCAGTAATCATTGCGAGGTTTTCTCTGAAAAGTGATTGTCCGGCCGACAGTTTCCATTTTATTTTTTTATGGAAAGATGGGCTAGCACGATTTTTTGAGTTTTTGGCGGATCGGCGCAAGTCTTTTACTGTAAAAGAAAAGATAGAGATTATCAGAAGTATTGAGAGTGGCACCGGTAAGGCGGAAAAATTGCTAGACAAAATAAATTTGCAAAAACAACAATATCTACAATTTGAAGTAATCACGAAAAGATCAAGAAAGCAAGTGACGGTAAATCACACTGGATTAAAAAAAAATTAGAAATCCTGGACGTTCAGATGTAGATAAAGCTCTTTTACAAATATTGCAACAAGTGGTCCAGTTCTGAAATCAAAAGC